CCCCAAAACCCCAAAACCCCAAAACCCCGTTATGACAATTATGTACATTATTTGAAGCAAAATCATTCTATTTTTCTCTTATTTAATATATATCACGAGTTTAAATGTTTTAAATGCAGTTTATGATCTCATTAAGGATTCCGCTTACTGCTTGAGCTGCCTTTCCCTTTGATAGGTATTTAATGAGTAGCAAGCTCATCGATAGTGAAAGGAAGTATAGAAGATGACTTGTTATTTCCCTTGAAATTATAGTGCTATTAGGAGTCTATATCTATCCTTTCAACTTAAAAGTTTTCACTATCATGCATCGAAGATCTCTTTCCCTTTAAAATTTATAGATTAGGAGACTTGGCGTATTCCTGTATATTAATCTAAACATTTTGCTACTATTTATCAATGACTGATTAAGACTAGGACTTTGCTCCTAATGAACTTGTATAAGGAATCCGCATTTGTAATTTTATACTTTATTAGCCATTAGAAACAGTTTCTTCATTTTCGTAGGAGTCATTTTGATTAATCTTATCAGGAGCATTTTCTTTCATTTTTTACTGCTGATTTCTCAATGACTTTCTCAACTGTATCATCTACTTTTAATCTTTTACTTCAAAATCATCTTGATCTTTTCCATTAAGTTACAACTGCTTGCCCTGTCAGTTACTTTCTAATAATATTTAATTCATCAAGCTTTCATAACCACTTTTAGTTCGTTGAACTTCTTCTCCGCCGTTTCCAACACTTAGTTTATCTTTCTGCTTGAGTTACAGTTATTATTAATTATTATTATTAATTTATTTGAGCGATTAAATGAGGTTTGAATATGTATCTTCCAAATTTGTTTGATTCTTTGTCTCATCTGGCTAAGAATTCGCAACACTGATTGATTGAGAAGATATTGAATTAAGTTTGTTGATATCATTCTGTTTAATCTCTGTTCTACGCTTCTACTAAGATTATTCAAAATCTACCTTAGGTATTGACTCTTCAATGTTTTAAAAATAGACGAATTAAGTTCTGCGGCGAGAACTTTCAGAACCCAAGATATGTTTGTTATTTCCTCTAATTGTTTAATTTGGATTGAATTAAATCGATATATTAGCCTCAGGTGTTAAATCCTATTACTTACTTGGATCTTTAATAGAAGTTTTAAATCTGAGATAGTTATCTTTCAAGCTTTAATCAATTCTCAACTCAATCCAATAGTGACCTGGGACAGCTCTCCACCAGAGTCCTTTTTATACATATGTCTAGTTTATCTTGTAAAAGTGCTCATCTAGTTCTTTTTTAACCATTAACTCAAATGTAGGATACTCATTCATGTTAACTAATGCTGATTTAAATACGATAGTTGCTACTATTGTGAATGCAACAACGATCAGTAATATACCTCCCCAAAACAATAGTGACATCTTTAGAATTGTTCCATAATATAGAATGAACATTGCCACAAGCAGACATAGACTGGAAAATGCAAATAAGTAGAATACAATATCAGGTATTTTGCTATTGTCAAGTATCCTCTTCCTAGAATAGCACAATTAAGCTATTTTTGTTAATTAATCCACATTTGAATTGAACTCCTCTTTTGTTATATAATTTTTCAGGTAATCTTCATTGTAGCAATCTCATTTAAAACAGTTACCCATTGAGTTAGAGGGGATTATTAGTCTGGTCTCATCGGATTTTGGAATCTAAATATGGGCCATAAATTCAGCTCTGGATATAAACGTTTATCTTTAGACCAAGGTTTCTGCTCGTAAAGGATGCCCTTGAGTTATCGGGGCAGCACCCTTTCTGTTTATTCGGCTAGAACTTTCTAAATCAAAGTCACTCCATTCTTAATCTTCAACAACTTTTTCATTGTTGATTTGGATTACAGGCTTCTATTATTTCATTAATTTATTTAAATAGTTAAAGTTAATAAGGTTTTTTAATTCCAAATAATGATAATAAAATTCACCTGTAAGCTTCACTTCTCCTGATATCTTTATTTAGCAAATCAATATCATCTTCTCCGTTCTTCATCATTAAATCAGGCAATTGATCTTAATCCTATTCATCTTCAAGTAAGTTTCTCTATGTCTCAAACGCACATCCTGTTTGAAGCATGTTATTCTGCGAAATGTCACCCTTATCTGTCATATCATCATCTACTAATTATCTGAAAGTAGAATCAAGTTTTCCTTTCTTAGTTTTGCTAAGTATCGAGCCTTTCATTTTATTTGATATCATAGAGTTTTTATCAATAATGTTAGGATTTACTGATTTATTTGCTTTTAGACTTGTTTATTCAATATCAAGAACTGCGATATCATCAGACATATCAAGTTTTTCTGGAAAATTTACTAAGTAGACATCAGATGGATCTTTTTGAATTTTGGAGCTATCCTTCTAATTTCCATTAATACTTTAATTTGATTATAGAGTGTCTTTGGTGGTTATATACGGATTTAATGTTTTTCGTTTGTTCTTTTCAAGTTGATTAATTGGATTGAAAGGCAGTATTTTAGTTAATTTATGATTTGGGATTTTATAAGATTAAACCGCTAACGCTTTCTTCTTCTATTTCTAAATTGATTCATCAGACTGTTCAGATTTTTCCTCCAAAATAAAGAAGTTAACAGGCATCTACTTATCACTATTAGTAGTCATAAGAGGTTTCTAAAGGAGCAAAGTCTTTCTTTGATCGAGCCGACTGCTAAACGATAGCAACAAATCTCTATCATGATTATGATAGCGTGCAATATCCTTATTTATATGGAGTTCGATCCAAAAGTATCCCGGCACACTAGCGAAATACATACCTCTCATTATCATTGTGTTGTTAATCTAATCCATAGTTGTAACAAGCTGCTTAATTACAATATCCTCCAATGTTGGAAAAGTATCCACTCTGCTATAAATATATTTTATGAAAGGCGAGCCCGCGACACAAAGTGATAAAGTTAATATGCAGTACCCACATATTCTAACATAATCTATTTTTCTCAACACGCCCCAGTAGAATAGACTGAAGCCTATTATTAGTAAAACAAAGCCGAGAAGAAAGAGTATTTTAGAGTGCAATGTAAGTCCACGGTTATCAATACTTCTTTTCAACGAGTAGCTTTTATACAATATTTTTGTGAAGTTGTCAACAATCTTATTGAATTCATCTCTGCTCATTAAACCTTCTAAATACTCTTAGTTATAGGCTTCGGCATTGAATTTCAAGCCGCGATTGTCGCATGGAATAATGACGCATTCCTCGTTCGACTTTGGAATTTTGAGAAACTATATGAAATCTTGTCAAGAAAGTGCGTAATGTCTTTTTATTTTGCGATCTGCATATATTTCGGTAATTTCATTTGTCTCTATCATGTTTAAAAACTTATTTTTAAATATTTACTTGAATTTTGGCTTATATGTACCTATATTTATTTATGAATTTAAGATCTTTATTGCTAACTTAAATCACGGGGTTTTGGGGTTTTGGGGTTTTGGGG